GTCAATTAATGGATTTATTACCTAATTATTCTATTAATGGCTAATTTACACCCAAAAATACCACAAATGACCGGTCCCTATTCTCCTAATAGGGCCGGCCATATCCCTATAAATAGCTCTCCATTCCCTCAAAAAACTACTTCTAAGTCTCTTGCAAAACTCTAAAAAATTCTCCAAACATTTTTCTCTCAAAATTTTAACTTTGGCATCAGAGGTTCTTCAACCAATGCCCCCCATTCATCATGGGCGCGTGATGCTTTTTGGCCTTGACCAAAGGTGTGATTTGTTTTGTAAGTGCAATTTTGTCCAAGAAGGAGAATGCGGAAATTTGCATCCACGTTAAGAAGACTAGGGTTTAGGGTCTTCTTACCAGAGAAGTTAGACATCATCATCAGCAATATACATACCACAATTGTCAAAATCTATACGCAAATGATATTAGTCGTTGTTTTCTGATTTATTATTGCTACAAATAAATCAAATCAAATCATAAATCGTAGTTCCGCCATTGTTGTCACAGTTACTGTTTCTGTTACGCAAGCCGTCGGTTTGGATTTTTACCATAGGCGTTTAACTTAAAGAAGCCATGCAGGAGAGCCAGAAACTGAATCAAATTGATGGATTGACAAGGCTTATGGTACAAGTTACGGGCCTGCCATACCTGAAATTTTCCTCTCCCCTTCCCCTTCTGGAGCTTCTGGTTATGGTCCCTATCATGTTCGCGTCGTCGTCTTATTACCACCAGACCAGAAGGAAAAGTTTCCCCTATAAAATGACAGAGATTCTAATGACGTGGCCTGCCGAACCATAGCGCGTCCACTCTCGACCGACATCCTTACGTACACGCTTTAGGTGATAGCGATGTGACGTTATCCTTTCGAATCCTTGCGTTTTGGGCTAATTTTTGGACATATGATGTTGGACAGATATTGGCCGAAATAGGCCCAGTGCAGGGTTCGATGTTGAGTTGCAGCTTGTTGGTCCGACATATTTGAAAATGGCCCAGCTTTTAGTTGGGAAAGATGCTTTATTCGAAGAGAAAATAGCATTGGAGCTCTCTATCCGTAATCGTAACTCAAACCTGAATAGATGTGTTGCTTGAATACTATCAGAGCAGTTCCATCCCTAATAGCCTCCGAACTATTCGGAACTCAATATCCTTATTGAACAGTAATTGCCTGCAATAAACTGTAAATATTTAAGTGTATTTTCATACCTAAATTGAATAGTAAGGCAATTCGTATTAAAAATATTCGTATTTTTTTATTTTATAAAATAATAATAAATAACTTTATTTTCAATTTCGAACATGATTTCTAACCAATCTCGTCACGTTACATGTCATTATCAAAAGTACAATTTTTGTGAAAAGATTTTCGAGTAGATTTTTAACTAATTCTGTCGCACCACGTGTTACTATCTGTTATGATAGATTTTCGATAAGATTTTTAACTAATCCTGTCGCGTTACGTGTCACTATCTGTTTAGAATCCTTGATGATAGATTTCGATAAGATTTTCAACTAATCACGTAGTGTTACATGGCATTATCTACAATTTCATCTTCTTTTTTTTCTCTATATAACCCACCATACACCTTAAGAAATTACACATAAAAATTTGCTTGGCTTTCTTTCTTTCTTGTAGGATAAAAATTGCTCTCGGAATTTATTAACTCCCTGCTTAAGGCAGACTTAAATAAATTTTGGTGGCAATTGGCTTCCCTTTCCTAGATGAATTTACCTCCAAGTCAAAATAGAAGATCCACATCAAATTTGGAAACAACTCTTTACTACCTAAGTAGCTTGTGATTTCTACACCTATTGCCTTTTTTTACCAACAACCCAATAGGTGTGGAGGCATTTGTGGAGCCAAAAATAATCTCAAAAATCCACAAGGCAACACGTAGACGTTTACTCAAGAAAGACAAGATATTATCTCCTAATTAATATTTTGGAAATATTCTTTCCTTGTGCATCCTACGGATGACAAAACTTGACCAATGGGAAGCCACCATGTGTAGGGTACACACATGGCCGGCCACATCCCACTATTTATACCCTCATCTCATCAAATTTTGGTAAGCTTTTCGTTATACATAAAAAGGCAAACTAATGAAAAGAGTTTGAAAAGTTTTAGTTTTAATAAAAAATCATGTTATAAGTTTTGTTTAATGATTAGTACAAAGCCCATATTAAAACAGTCCAACTAAAAATAGCCCAACTATAATAAATTATGATTTGTCGATTTTACTCCTAACTTTTTTAGGTTGAGTTTCAAATTTTATCGTTAATCGAGTTCATCGTTGTTTTGCAGACCTTCTTCTTTTTCCTTGAAACAAAAATATAGATCCTCATGCTATTTAATTTATATTTTGTATTATTTCGTTGAAATGCAATATTATTGATAGTGGATTTGAGGTAATGTTTTTCAATTTTTCTTCGTCAGTGGAGTTCATCGTTTGTTTCTCCAGAAAATAAATTTGAGATCTGCATGCTATTCAATAACAACGATGGGTCACTGTTTCTGGATTTTAAGTAACATTGTTTTTGGAATCTAAGTCACTGTTTCTAGAGACATAGTTAGTTTTTCCAGAGACAATGTTAATTTTTCCAGAGACATTGTTTTTCCAGAGACAATGTTAGTCTTTCCAGAGAGAGTGCTAGTTTTTCCAGAGTTTTTCTAGAGACAGTGTTAGTTTTTTTCAGAGACAATGTAGTGTTAGTTTTTTCAAAGACAATGTTAATTTTTCCAGAGACAGTCTTAGTTTCTTCAGAGACAATGTTAGGTTTTTCCAGAGACAGTGTTAATTTTTCCAGAGATAATGTTAGTTTTTTTAGAAATAGTGTTAGTTTTTCCAGAAACAGTTACGGATTCAAAACATAACGGGTCACATTGTTTTCTAAAAAAGTGGCAAAAAAATCATACTATTTCCTAGAAATGTTTAACATTAACAGTGTTATGAAAGTTGAACGCCATGGTTGAAGTCACTTTTCTCTCTCTTTCTCGTCTACTTTTCTATTTTCCCTTTTTTTATTTTTTAATTTTTATTTTTTTTAATTTTTTGCAGATTTTGCAATTGGGGAAGGTGGTTCTATCACAGGTAGAAATATATTTTTCTTTCTAGTTTTATGGAGAAATGGGTGCAAGGAATTGAAATTTTTGGTTTTTTCCTGTTCCATGGAAAATGGATTCAGTTTGAGTGTCCTCTTCCTTGATTCAATTGCACAGTTCTTTCCTGTTCGTTTCTTTTTAATTGTACTTTTAAAGATTGGATTCAATAATTTGGGATTTTTTTTTTCTCAAAGTCTGGTTATTCTCCAAATTTGAATCTAATTTGGACAAGGAAATTCAAAAACTGATACATGCACCAAGAATGAAGGAAGAAAAACCCAGAAAACAAAACTCTGATCGACGCTCTACTTAGAGCTAACGTGATTTTTTTCCTTCATGAGAACAAACAAGTTTTAGACCTGCGCCTCCTTGTTGGGGTAATTTTGGAGACTTATTTTTGTTTCAGTTGGGCTCTGTAATTCAACTCATGTAGAATTGGAGGCCTCTGTTTTATGGTTAATTTTGAGGTGCTTTTGGTTAAAGAAAGCTATAGGGTGGTTTTTTTTATTAAATTAATCTTGGTCTAAGCCCTTTTCATTAAAGCTCTCTACATAAAACCCTAAACACTCACTCTATTTAGAGTTACCGACTTAGGCATCAGAGATCGTTTGACACCCCCTTCTCTCCACTCCTCGTGGGCGCTTTGGTCTTTGATCAAAAGTGTTGACTGTTTTGTAGATATTTTTTTGTCAAGACTGAAGACGGCGGCAAGTACCTACCACAGTGATGATTTTAACTATGTTTCTGAAATTGGATTTTTATTCTTTTCATTTCATGATAGTTGGAGAAGATTGGCTTTTTTCCCCCTCATATTCTTAAGAAGAAAGGAAAGAAACTATGAGGAAGAAGACCGCAACAGTAAAGTGAAAAGGAAAAGAAGAAAGAAGAGGAAAAAAATATGAACTGTGAGATCAATCTCATGGTGTATATTAATTAATAGAAAATATAATAATGAAAATTTTAAAATAAAAGAATGATAAAATATTATATTTAAAATTTACCATGAGACGAGTTTTGTCTGGATTGTAATGCCATCCAACAAAATTCAGTTGTAGGCCGAGCCCCACACAAGCTTTTCTCCTAACATTGAGAGACATAAGACGGTATGACAAGAATCTTGAAAATTTAAATTAATCTAACAGCAATCATTGGCAGGATCATGACCCTCGCCACAATAGGTGAGCAAAAATACACTCCAATTTTAATGGTTGATACTTATCTCCCTATAAATATGACATTAGAAGATGGAACAAGCCATGGAGTAGCATGGAGAGGAGAAGAAAACTCGATAAGGAATTCCAGCAGAAAAATCTTCCGCAACAAGAATTGTATAGCCAAATTGCAGTGCAATCTCCAAATTCAGTTTCGTCAAATTCCTCCGGCCACACCACAAATTCAGCAAACCCTTTTCCAAATTCCTCATCATCCTTGTGAAGAATTATCAAACACCACTTACATGAGCCAGTTCCTAACCACCAAAGTCAAACATCACGTACCATTACAAAAGTTCTTGTGGTATCCGTTTGATCAAGATCAAGCTTCTACGGCCTTAAATCAAACACACATTATGGTATTTCAGACACTTATTGAGATGGCATCAAAGGATTCATTCTTACAAAGAATTTACCCAAAGATTGCAACTCTATTCATTTGATAAAAACAATAATTATTATTTTGTATGCATATTCTCGTTCCATTGCTTTTCAGGAATTTTAGTGTTTATAGGTATGTTGAAGATAAAAGATGGATTACTCGTAGTCGTGAAAGAAACTTATCCACTCGAATCCCCAATTTAGTAGGATACTAAAGGAATGAGCTTCCTTCATGTCTAATCCCCTCCAAATTCCATCCAAATAAAAGATCACTCTTTTCTATAGATCCATCCCATCTTAAAGACCTGAGTAATATATATTATGATTCAACATATCACAGTCGCAAACCATCAATACTGAATACTGAGACTGAATGTGTGGCAACACAAATAACACAAATGTATATGCAGTTAATCCTTACATGTAGCCAAATAGTTTTAGGAAAAACATTAATCTGCATCATTCTACGGTTTGCAATGCATACAACCGGTTTTCAATACATACAGCCACTTCTTGTAGAGACCAAACGCCAATCCCACCACCAGCACATTGTAGTAAGGCCGGAACACCTGAAAACACACAGAAATTTCAATGTTTACATTCTGAAGCTGCCTCGTTGGTATGACAGAAATTATCTACCAATTAGCGTATGCACTTAGCGACAAACTACAAGTAATGTAATCAAATTTATAGATGATCCGCTGATTTCCAATCAGAAAAGTGCTAGCCAATCAAATGAACATCTAATTGATCTCTTAACCAAGTCCATCAATCAAGCCTACTGTAATTTTTCTGTTTAACTAACAAGTGATCACAACAAGAACCCCAATAAACCACAAAACATCCCTCTTTGGTCCTGTTAAAGTCTGCGTTTGTTTCATATAGGTAAAGGACTGGATGTGAAGGGCAAGTCATGTATAGAGGGTCAAACATCTAGTTGCCTTTGTTCTATTAGCTAAGAGTCGACCATAAACATGCACTACATTCAACGTCTTCACTACGTAACAGTTAAAATTCGACAAGGATATTAACTAATACAAGAAACCCTAGAAGTCAAAAGTTCAATTCATCCAACAAATCAAAAACCCTGAAAAAACAATCAAATTGCCCCAATTGAGTAAAAAATAACTATATCATGATAACAGATGAAATTGCAGACATTATATCCGAACATTCAGTCGAAATAATTGAAATTCAACAAGAAAATTAACCCATACAATAAACCCTAAAACTTAAAAACCCCAATTCACCTAACCAATCAAAAAACCCTAGAAAACAACATAATTGCCCCAAATATCTGAAATTGCAGAGAGATTTCAATCCGAACCTTCAGTTGTAATAGAGCTCGAGGCCCATGCCGTCGTGAATCTCATAGTCCTTGAGGGTGATGTGGTCCTTGTAGACGTTGTACCACTTCTGGATCCGAATCTTGTCGGAGCGGGTGCCCGTCTGAGCCGCCACCAGCTTCTTCAGGTCGCCGATGGTGTCATCCTCGTTGCACTTCACCTTCACCTTCTTCCCCAGACGGTCGTTCAGCACCACCTCGATCATCTTCGATTCTTGGAATTTCAATCGATTGCCCAAATGTTAAACCCTAACCGATCGCTCAGAGAGAAATTTGGGAGACTTTGAACACCGCGAATAACGAAAGGATTTTGATATATAGAGCGCTTACAGGGGCTTTATGGTCTTTTTGATTGGCTCGCCGACTAGAAAGTCTACGAGTTTTACCTTTCTTTTCAAGGATTTGGATCCTCTCCTGAGCTAATGGAGAGGATCCTCCTGACCTATCACTGTCGGCCGTTAGATTTTTATCCAACGGTTATAAAGAGAAAGATATTTTTAAATTATAATAATTGTAACCGTTAGATTTTTATCCAACGGTTCACAATGATGGGTTAGAAGGATCCTCTCCATTAGCTGAGGAGAGGATCCAAATCCCTTTTCAAAGCCATTTCTTTCTTTGGTTTCTTAATACTAAAATAATGTTGATCCTAATCTTTGTTCGTTGCGCGTCAAAATTTTACTTATGATCTTGACATGAACTTTCTCATAAAAATTTGGTTTTTCTAATATTATTTTGAATTATTTTGTTCTATTTTATCGATTTTTCTTTTTGTTTTACAATGTTATTTGGTAATCGGAAATTTATTTTCTAGATCATCATCATTCTTTCAAAGTATTAACTAAATTTAAAATCGTTTGATCATCTAATGATTATCGAATAAGTAGACATATTGTATTTCTTACTTAAACACTAAAATTTTGATAATGTTAAGGGCTAGTTTGGTATTATTGTGTTTTTTATAAAAAAATGTTTCTGCTGTACTATGAGAATAAGCAGCTGTAAAATAAAGTTATTGAGTATTTGGTAAATTTTTTTGTAAAAGTGTTTTGACAAAAAAATAGTGTTTGAGCATTTAGTAAACTTTTATATAAATTGTTGTGAATATGTTAAATAACTAAAAAGGATATGATATATAATGTGATATAATAATTGTCAAAGAGAATAATGTAAGGGCATAATTTTGTAAAATATGTAGGGATATACTTGTCTTTTGAAAATTTTATTAAATGGCATTGACTACTATGCTTTGAAAAAAATGTACTTTTCTTAGAAGCATAGTAGTCCATGTTTTTGCTTTTCTATACTTTTCTACTGTTACTTACGGCATATTTTTTTATTAAAAAAAAATACATTTTTTCTCTGTTTTATCAAACACATTTGATGTCTCAGATTTTTTAATAAGCCGTTTTTTTTTTTTCAAGCACCATAATTTCAAACTAGCCCTAAGTCAAATAATCAAACTCAATGTTGATCATCAAGAAACATTGCAAGATTGTATTAGACAATGATTGTATTAGAATAGAACCAATCTAAAACACCTTCTACAAAATAAGCATGGCTAAACTCGTATTACTTAAATCCGTTTTAACTTTACTCTTGAGCTATACAATGATTATTTAGGGCAAATGAAGACTTAGTTTTGGTTGAAAAACCATATGCGTTCTCTTTTACTAAGCACTAATTTCCCCAATTACAGTTCTTGATTTTAGCTACATTAGTAAGAATGAAGAACGAAGTCATATTCAAATAACCAATCATGCCAATTCTTAAACCCCCCAATCCTAAACCAAACTCCTACTGTTATTATGTCTATAAGTCTCGAATTTGTATTCTGTAGTCCATTTTTTGACCTTCTAAATAATCTTCATCGTTCGCGTTATTAAAATTAATCTTCACCGTGCATTTCTTCGGAACTTTTAACAAAAATTTCTACAAGTCTACTAAAAAAGAAGCGTAGTGCTCGACCAAAATGCTGTACAAGGAAGCATATTCCAAATTTCCAAAAGCAAAGGGTGCCCCAAAAACACATAAACAAGTGTTAAGCCACCAGGCAGCAGCACGCCGCTGATGACTAATGACTGATGTGAAAGAAAGCAGACAAACAAAACTCCCATCAATTCCAACCATTTCTAATTCCCATCTTCTTCCTCCCCGATTCTGACTTGATGGTTTCATCGAGATCGCTTTTGTCTCTGTAGAGTGGGTGTGCAGAGAGATTTTATAGAGCTATGTACGTGAGCCGCCCGTTGGTCCATCCGGTGGAGGCCCCGCCCACGACTGACGTGGCGGCCCAGAACGCCCTCAGAGTGAGGATGAAGGACGTCCAAGGCATGCCTGGCACCCCCGGTGGGTTCGCCCTGCGTCTCTGCCAGCTCTGCTTCGCCGCAATCTCTCTCTCCGTCATGGCCACCACCTCCGATTTTCCCACCGTCACCGCCTTCTGGTAATGCTGGGTTCGTGATTTTTGCAATTTTTACATGTTTATTGAGATGGGTTTTGGTTAAAGTTTAAGTCTTTGATGATTTTTGTGTTTGTAATTGGGTTTGGCTTTGCTGGGTGAAATGTAGCTACCTTGTTGCTGCTGTTAGCTTGCAATGTGTGTGGAGTTTGTCAATGGCGATTGTTGATTTGTATGCTCTTTTGGTGAAGCGGAGTTTGCGCAATTGCAAGGCTGTGTGTTTCTTCACCATTGGAGATGGGGTAAGATATGAATTTAACCCTTCAAGTCTTGTTGCATTACTTCTGTTGATTAGCCACTAACTAGTAGAATTTGAGTGTTTAAATCATTGGCAAAATCTGTAGCTAGCACTTAACTGAATGTGACACCGATAGATTCCCCAAACTTGATAGGGGTGCATATTATCACAGGAGCTCCCTGTGGATACTGACCTGCAAAAGTTGATTTGTGGTTAATGCTTTATCTAATTTCACATAGGATTTGAAATTTGGGTGGGCTGGATTTTAAGCTAATTTTTTTCTTACCTCGACGGAAATCCTTGTTGAAATTTTGGCACAATATCAGTTGTTTTCATGCGTTTTCGAAGTTACAAACCTAATAAGATTTTGAAGAAAATACACGGATATGGGTGCATTTTATTAATAAACAAAAACAAATACACCTAGTCAGGGGGACGTAGTTAGCCGTACCCCTCAGAATGCATACATATACATAAACAAACCAAAATGATAAAAAGATAACCAACTGAAAAACAAAAAGATAACAATACAACAAACAAAAGTGCAGTATTTAAATGTTGACGTCCTCGTCTTCAAAGCATCAAAATCATCAGTCACACACAAGTTTAGTAACCAAACTAGAGCAACAACACACCACCAGACTAACCTAGTGATAAATACAGAGCCAGTAGGAATGTCTCTGTGCCTGAATGCTTTTGACTTTTCTGTTTCCTCTCTAAAAATGGGCAGGATCAAAGCCATACTAACCTATACTGACCAATGTAACAACATCACGCCACAATAACTTATACTTTTTTTTTTTTTTTTGCCTAGCATAAGGGGCTGGGCCAGTCTCGTGGCTGGTTCTGTCCCTGGTGAAATAGAAAAGCAGTGATCTGTCCATTCAAATGTTAACTAGCTGCTTTGTTCGTATGTGATTACCCAATTATTTATATACCATTGCTTCGATAGTAGAATTTGTTATTCCAGGGATGCATGAAACACACCATGGGACAACAGATTGAATATAACTTGGACACTACTAATGTACGACATTACACACATAAACTAAAGACTCCAATGCTGTCACCATAACTTCTCCACTACATGAAGAATGACAGCTGAGCTATCTACATTTTCTGTCATTGGTTGAGAGGAGCGGCTGCCACTCAAATGAAGCTAAACAGATCACTGACTGAATTTAACAGTAGACCGGCACTGCATGGTCAATTATTTGCATCACCCATGCGCTTTGTTCAGGTGCCATAGTTGCCGCTCTAGATTATTCTTTGGTAGTTGATAGTGTTACCATCCATTGTCTATTACTACAGAAAAACACCACTTCATCCAAGACCACCGACTGAATAAATTTCTATTAGTTGACTGTCTGATGTTGTGATCTCTTGAATAATCAGGCATCATAGTAGCCATACCTGGTACTTTTCACCTTTCTTGACCACATGTTATAATTCTAGCTGTGGAACTTCTTGATACCACCCGAGCTTAATCTCAGACAAGTTTCACAGTCTCAGCTTGTGGCATGAACACTAGAAACTTTGTGGTTTGTCGATCCCTAACTGCCTCGCTCTGATACCAGAATTTTTAACAAAAACATGGTGAGTCAACAAATTTAGAGACATAACACGCTTCAAATGCACCACTACAATACACACAAGAAACGAAACTTATCCAGGCGCACTCATATTAATGCACATACCTTTCTTTCACTCACCTATTGTGGTGTTTGTGGTAATGTACCACTGGTCAGACCTAACTGGTAAACCACTCTATCCTCAGTATACATATTTTGTGTGTTGTTTTAGGCAAATTTTAAACTAAGTCTTATTAAATGGCCATCTCACCCTTGCCACACTTTAACATTGATAGATGACTAGATGTCCCTTCGGGTTTTGCCACTTGAGATGTTACCTTCATTTCTATGCAGATAACTTAGTATTTCTGTTTTTTATTCATTCATTAACAAGATGCTTTGTTAATATGTACTTGTGCGTGCAAATATCCATTTTTTGAAAGTTGAAAAGTGAATTTGCTGCATCAGAGGGGCATTAAGTCCCGCTGTTCGAGACCTAAATCAGTCATCACAAGCTTACAGATATACAAGTGTTTCTTTTTGTGCAGATCACATCCACTCTTACATTTGCTGCTGCATGTGCTTCTGCTGGAATCACTGTCCTCATTGCCAATGATCTTAACAAATGTGGTTTTAACCATTGCAAAAGGTTTGAGACTGCCACAGCTATGGCTTTTATCAGTTGGTTTGCTGTGTCACCAACTTTTCTTTTAAACTTTTGGTCACTGGCTTCACGGTAAAATATGGCTGGGGAGGAATATTCATGAGTGATCAGAGCCTTCTCATTCCCAACTGTTGGCTTCTTTGGTGCGAAGAGATCTCTGCCACAGCTATGGCTGTTCTTCTACAGGTTATTATGGTTTCCCTTGTTGTGTATATAGAAACATTTTGGCAGAGTTTTATTGAAATGACAATAACTTTAGGGGTGTGCTATCCACACATCTTTTTTTTACTTCTTACACACCTTTTGTTAATTTCTATCTGTTGATCTTTTTCAATTCATCCTGATCCGACGGTCAAAAATTAGAAGGGTGTGTGAGAAGTAAAAAAGGGTGTGTGGATATCACACTCCTAACTTTAACATGGAGATGTGTATCAGATTTTGTTTTTGTTATGAAATCTTTTTCTGCATTGTCAACCGGTTTCTTGCAATGTATTATACTATTGTATGATTTCTAAAAGCCTATAAAACGTACAATTCTTTCACTCATGACCTAGCAAGTACCTGAGAGATACAAAATGCTGTTTGTGTGATCTCTTCATGTTAAACTTGCTTTAAAACTTCCTAGGGCTCTATGTATGCACCTGAAAGCAACTTTAGAAAAACTGCAGGCAACTGTTGGTACCGAATCGAGATGCCCTAGTACATTCCACGATAAACGATGCTAATATACTCTTTTCTTCGTTCCCGCTTCTTTTCCTCATCTTTTGATGCCTGGGAAAGGAAGAGAAGGGCTCTAGGTTGCATAAAAGTTTCCTGAGAACTATTTGGTGAAAGTTTTGCGGATAATCATGTAATTAGCTAAAGCTTCTACGACCGGTGTTGAAAACTGGATTAACAGTTAGTGTTTTCTCAGTTTTTCTCATGGAATTAAGGGTTGAAATGCAACAGGTGAGATGGAAGACAAGTTGGCAAAATACAACCATTAGCTTTCGTTTCAATTGATAAAGTAATCATAATTTGTGAATTGCATGTTGAAGCCGAATTTTTATGGTTTATGGAAGAGTTAAAACACTTACCAAAAAGAAAAGATATATATACTTAGAAAAATGCATCTTCGCCACAAGTTACAATTATATTTCTTGAACAGCATACCCCACGTCTTTCTTATTCATCAACCGTCGGCCGTAAGATTTTCTCATTGCACAACTTAAATCATAGGCATCAAAATATGATATATATGTATGGCCTTAATGTACTTTTAAGAATAATTTAGGACATGGAGTTAGTTATTGACCTAAAGAACGCTTCCATAAAGCAAGGGAAATTGGTTTCAGCATGGAATTCATCGACTATAATTACTTTATCCTTTTGAAACCATCGATTATATATTGCCAATCGACTTGTCTTCTTTCACACCGATGGCATTTCAACCCTCAAATCCATAAAAAAAACCATTTCCTTTGTCATTTTTCAACATTAATCATACATTCTTTAACTGATTACATGATTATCCGCATCAAAACTCTCAATAAAGTAGTTCTTAAAAAACTCTAACAGAATGGGAATATACGTTATCTATGAGAAAGAGCAGAGGAAAGGGATTTACCCCTTCATGTTATTTTCTTCAAGTGCCGTAGTTACTGCTCTCGTAGTTGATATTGTTATCATCCTAAACCCTAAACCTATAACAAAACTAACTTACCCTGAACGCGGATATTAGGCCTAGCAAACAAGTTGTGTTTGTCGTGTTTCGTATCATTTTTGTGTAACATCTATTATCTTAATGGGTCGTGTCGTGTCACACCCGTTATCTTAATAGGTCGAGTCACTTTACGCAACAGATAAAATGTCCCGTTAAGAAAATACTTTTTTTTCTTAAATTTGCACATTCCACATTGTCACATAAATATTACTTCAAAACATAAAAACACATTTGTCGTTAAGTGCTACATCTACACTCCAAAATAAGAGCCTAATAAAAAAGCACCAATACACTAGTAGTCTACTGCAAAATATCAAATGTGCAAGGATATGCAAAATGAAGGAGTTTTTCTTTTTAAGGTTGTGAAGCCTTTATCACAAGTTAAAACCTTGCCAACGAAACTCAAAGCTTGCATTTTATTCCCTTTACAAAATCCTTCATTTTTTATTGATCATCATGGGAAAATTGTATTGGAACTTTGGCTTGATCTATTGTCGTCAAAAGTTATGTCGATAATGTTTTCAATAAGGTTTTCCACATTAGAACTCTCTTCCGTATAAACTAAGCGTAGAAAAACCAAACATTATAAATCATTCAAATTATGAGAAGTTTACCAAAATACTTATGAAAAATAAAATAAAACAATAGTATTATCCCATTCCCATATAAAAATATATTACCTCATTTTCCAAATTTTCTAAATTTAATTTAATATATATATATATATATAATTATTATAATTTTTTAGAGGTATAAAATTATTAAATTAATATTTTGCTTATCGTGTATCGGGTTACTCACGTATGTACCTTGACCAACCTGTTATCTTAACACTTTTATCGGGTTACCTGATAACGACCCGATTCGTTATCATGTCGACCTGATAACTTGTTAATTTTTGTGTCGTTTTCGTGTCAGGTTAATAGACCGTGTCAGAAATTGCCAAGCCTAGCAAATATACCCCTCTCTTTCATTTCCTCCGCTCTCTCTCACAAATAATGTATATCTCTGTTGTAGGAAAATTTCTTTAGAACTACTTCAGTGAGAATTTTGATGCAAATAATCATGTAATCAGTTCAAGCGTCTATGATTAGTGCTGAAAAATGACAAATGGTGGTTAGTCCTTGTTTAGGAATTGAGGATTGAAAAACATATTGTGCGAAAGAAGACAAGTCGATTGGCAAAATACAGTTAGTAGCTTTTCTTTCAAAAGGATAAAGTAATAACAATACTAGGAATTCCACGTTGAAACCGATTTTCCATGGTTTATGGAAGCATTTTTTAGGTTAAGGACCAAATAATTATGCTTTCATTTCCTAAATTATTCTTAAAAAAAAAAGTACATTATGGTCATACATACACTGTTCTAAAAATCTTCGCCTAACATCGCTTACGTCCCGTTTACGTGTTAGGCGGCTAGTCATCGTCCCGATTAATGCCTAGGTCTTTGAAAATTAAGAAAGGATGCCTAGATCTGTTAAGGCATCCACCTAGTCCGCTTAAGCACCCGCGTAGCCCGCCCAAACCCAACTAGACACCTGCCTAGGTCGCGACCCGCTTAGACAGAAAATAGATAACTTTCATATTACATTTTATTTTTTTTCAATAAATTGTAAGAGACTTGTCGCATACTTACATGAACACACATTATATCCTTGTTCCCTATGTTTTCATTATGTTCCAATACTTCATAATATAATGTCATTTTATTTTATAGTTTATGATGAAATTATATATATTTGAAGTGTAAGAAACATTTATTTATACAAAATATAATAGATTTACTTAAATTCATCTAGTCCGCCTAGGCACTAGGCCCCAGCTAGCTGCCTGACTAGCGCTAAGCGTTTTTTAGAACCTTGCATACATATATATTAGATTTTGACACCGTACATTAAGTTGTGCAATGAGAAAATCTCGTGGGTGGCGGTTGATGAATAAGAACAACGTACGTTAACTTGTTCAAGAAATATAATTATAACCAGTAACGGACTGCTTTTTTCTAAGAAGATGTATATCTTTTCTTTTTGGTAAGTGTTTAACTCTTACGTTGGCCTATATCTCAACTTCCGTGTGTGATAAGCACGAGATTAACATTCAAAAGTGTAAGAGAGAAGAAACGGCAAGCCAGATAACGGTATCTCCTCCTTTTAACGAGTGGCGGCTTAGAGCTACAAGGTTTAAGAAACCCATGACTAACTTGCTCTTTGAGCACCTTGACCATTGCTATATATAGGTTTCAACCTTTGCTGTTTTCTTGAACAATTTGTCCCAAATAGAGAGGGGTTGGAGAGACCATGTCTAATAAGGAAGTTGAGGAGGAAAGAAGGCTATATAAGTGTGCAAGGACATATGAAAAAATAGTAAAACAGGTAGAGTATGCAATGTATCTTAAATCCTTAATCTAAATTTAACCTTGTTAGTAAATCAGCATTAGTCAGATAATTACCTGCTTCGGGCATCCTTTCTTCTTTTTTTCTTTGGAAAGATGGGTTTGTTCCATTTTTAATTATACATACTAGACTGAAGTTTTGATTTCGATTAATCTTCTGTTTAATCTCTGTTTTACAGTGTGATGAGCTGATTGGGATGATGGACACCAGGAGCAAACTACCTAAGCGACGAAAGGTATCTTCCATAAGATCTCTTGGCTAATTTCTATTAGTTTATCTTCTAAATTTTAGTTATGTGCATGCTAATATGCAATGCGATTAAGTTCTTGTTCATCTTTGGTTTCATGCATGACAGAATTCTACAACTGCTCCTGCCCCAGCAAGTCAACAGCAGGACAATGAAGTGTTAGTGCAGACAATAACAAGATTTCTCCATGACCTGAGAACTAACCCTGCAGAACCCGAGAGCTCCACAACCCCCGGAGATAGAAACTAGTTCTCTTCATGTAGGGAATGATTGCAGCAGACTAGCAGAGAAGCAATTATCTTTAGTCATAATAAGTGGCTAATTACTAAGTGTGAATGCTTGACTATCTAGTACAGCATGGCTAAACATGTAACGGCTACACATTTCTTGGAAGTGCCTCAGATTTTATAGTTGTTCCCGACAAAACTCTTTATCCAGTTTTTATTTTTCAGATGTCTTAAAAAAAAAAAAAAAAAAACAAATGGGAAAACTACCATTAGTATATAACAATAATAGAACTTTGAAATAAAGTCATATGAAGTCACGAACAGACACCCAAACCTCCAGAATTTCACATCTTCAATTAAAGCAGTCGTTACCCACATACCTCAGTTTCCCAGAAAGCAGCATGAATTAAGAACTGTAAGGGGGGCACATGCATCTCGTCCAAAAATGTCTTTGACTGTTTAAATAGCCAATGAAGGTAAAAACTTTCAAACTGGAGTGCATATGGGATGTGTTTCGTGGTTGAGAACATATGGATTGGATTGTACAAAACAAAAAATGCTGTGAATTTGATTATGCCGTACTTACTAACCTATTGGCCGCTGCACTTCAGCTTCTCAGCCTCAAGTTCCTGTTTCAAGGCTTCTATCTTGTTTTAAAACTTGTCGTTACGAGTGATTGTGAATTCTTTTTAAAATTTGCACTTCTACACTAATTATTATGAACTTTTATTAATTCTGCACTCAAATAATAAACACTATTCATTAGGGTTTGGAGGGTTTGAAAAAAACTATACGACGATGTAACCATCGTCTAAGCGTAGATGATGCAATCATGAGCATTTGTATATTCTTTTCACATTTTTCACACTTTTACATTATTTTTATGAATTTTTATTTATTTTGAATCCTCCTATAAACACGTTGTTCAAGAGGGTTTGTAGGATTTAAAAATTCAAACGATGACGTACCCACC